GGTTACTGGGATGAACTGGGGGGGGGCGTTGTCACTGGTTTTCACTGGTTTTTACTGGTTTTTACTGGTTTTTACCGTTTTTTACCATTTTTGCCGTTTTTTCCCCCATTTCCAGCCCTGTTTAACCTGATCCCGGTCGGGCTCCGCGTCGTCGCCATCCAGGGCGCCCGCGCCGGGCGTTACGTGGCCATGAACGGCGCCGGCGTCGTCTACACCTCCGTGAGTGACCCAAAAACCCCGAAATTCACCCCAAAAACACCAAAATCCGCCCCAAATCCGAAATCCCCCCCAGAATCCACGCCCAAAACCCCCCAAATCTGCACCAAAATCCCCAAATCCACCCCGAAATCCACGCCAGGAACAGCCAAAACACCAAATCCGCCAGGAAATGCCCGAAATCCCCAAAATCCACCCCAAAATCACGCAAAATACCCCAAGGACACCCAAAAAAACCCAAATCCACCCCAAATCCCCAAAATCCACCCCAAAATCACACAATATACCCCAAGGACACCGAAAAAAACCCAAAATCCACCCCAAATCCCCAAAATCCACCCCAAAAAAGACCCAAATTTACCCCAAAACCTCAAATCCCCAAGATCCACCCCAAAATCCCAAAATCACCCCCAAAAATCCCCAAAATCTGACCCCGAACCACCAAAAATCCCAAAATCTACCCCAAATACACCAAAAAAACCCCCAAATTCACCCAAAAATCCACCCTGGGATCCCCCAAAACCCCCAGGTGTGCCCAGGTGTGCCCAGGTGTGCCCAGGTGTGCCCCAGGTGTGCCCAGGTGTATCCCAGGTGTATCCCAGGTGTTTCCCAGGTGTGCCCAGGTGGGACAACGCACCCATAGGTGACCCTTAGGTGTACTCAGGTGACCCTGGGCTGTACCCAGGTGTGCCCAGGTGTGCCCACAGCTATTTCAGGTGGGACAACACACCCATAGGTGACTCTTAGATGTACTCAGGTGACCCTGGGCTGTACCCAGGTGTGCCCAGGTGCCCCCAGGTGACCCCCAGATGTGCTCAGGTGTGCCCAGGTGACCCCCAGGTGGGCCCACAGTTGTTTCAGGTGGGACAACGCACCCATAGGTGACCCTTAGATGTACTCAGGTGACCCTGGGCTGTACCCAGGTGTGCCCAGGTGTGCCCAGGTGCCCCCAGGTGACCCCCAGGTGTTTCCAGGTGCACTTCACGCCCGAGTGCCGCTTCAAGGAGTGCCCAGGTGTATCCAGGTGTATCCAGGTGTGCCCAGGTGTACCTCAGGTGCCCCCAGGTGCCCCCAGGTGTTTCCAGGTGTATCTCAGGTGCCCCCAGGTGACCCCCAGGTGTATCCAGGTGTACTCAGGTATATCTCAGGTGTCCCCAGGTGCCCCAGGTGTGCCCAGGTGTGCCCAGGTGTATCTCAGGTATATCTCAGGTGCCCCCAGGTGTGCCCAGGTGACCCCCAGGTGTGCCCCCAGGTGTATCCAGGTGTACTCAGGTATATCTCAGTTGTGCCCAGGTGCCCCCAGGTGCCCCAGGTGCCCCCAGGTGTGCCCAGGTGACCCCCAGGTGTGCCCTCAGGTGCACTTCACGCCCGAGTGCCATTTCAAGGAGTGCTCAGGTGTGCTCAGGTGTGCCCAGGTGTATCTCAGGTGCCCCCAGGTGCCCCCAGGTGACCCCCAGGTGTTTCCAGGTGCACTTCACGCCCGAGTGCCGCTTCAAGGAGTGCCCAGGTCTATACAGGTGTGCTCAGGTGTGCCCAGGTGTATCTCAGGTGCCCCCAGGTGTGCCCAGGTGTGCCCAGGTGCCCCCAGGTGTATCTCAGGTGCCCCCAGGTGACCCCAGGTGACCCCCAGGTGTGCCCAGGTGTGCTCAGGAGTGCCCAGGTGTCCCCAGGTGTGCTCAGGTGACCCCCAGGTGTGCCCCCAGGTGCACTTCACGCCCGAGTGCCGTTTCAAGGAGTGCCCCAGGTGTATCCAGGTGTGCCCAGGTGCCCCCAGGTGTACCCTAGCTGCCCCCAGGTGTATCCAGGTGTGCCCCAGGTGTCCCTGGGTGCCCCCAGGGGTGCCCAGGTGTATCCAGGTGTGCCCAGGTGCCCCCAGGGGTACCCTAGCTGCCCCCAGGTGTATCCAGGTGTGCCCCAGGTGTCCCTGGGTGCCCCCAGGTGTGCCCAGGTGTATCTCAGGTATATCTCAGGTGCCCCCAGGTGTGCTCAGGTGACCCCCAGGTGTATCGAGGTGTACTCAGGTATATCTCAGGAGTGCCCAGGTGACCCCCAGGTGTTTCCAGGTGCACTTCACGCCCGAGTGCCGCTTCAAGGAGTGCGTGTTCGAGAACTACCACGTGCTCTACGCCTCGGCGCTGTACCGGCAGCGCCGCTCGGGCCGCGCCTGGTACCTGGGGCTGGAGCGGCACGGGCGCCCCATGGCCGGGCCCCGCGTCAGGAAGGACAAGGCCGCCGCACACTTCCTGCCGCAGCTGCTCGAGGGTGAGCAAACACCAAAAACCGGGGGTTTGGACCCAAAAAAATGGGGATTAGAAGTCAAAAATTGGGGGTTTAGAGCTGAAAAATTGGGGATTTGGAGCCAAAAGAATGGGGATTTGGAGCCAAAATCGGGGATTGAGACACCAAGATTGGGGATTTGGAACCCAAAATTGGAGATTTGTAACCAAAAATTGGGGGTTTGAACCCAAAATTTGGGGACTGGAAGTGAAAAAAATGGGTTTTTGGAGCCAAAAAATGGGGGATTTGGAGCCAAAGAAATGGGGATTTGGAGCCAAAATCGGGGATTGAGACACCAAGATTGGGGATTTGGAACCCAAAATTGGAGATTTGTAACCAAAAATTGGGGGTTTGAACCCAAAATTTGGGGACTGGAAGTGAAAAAAATGGGTTTTTGGAGCCAAAAAATGGGGGATTTGGAGCCAAAGAAATGGGGATTTGGAGCCAAAATCGGGGATTGAGACACCAAGATTGGGGATTTGGAACCCAAAATCGGGGTTTGGAACCCAAAAATTGGGGATTTGCAGCCAAAAAAATTGGGGATTTGGAGCCAAAAAAATGGGGATTTGGAGCCAAAAGAATGGGGATTTGGAACCCAAAATCGGGGTTTGGAACCCAAAAATTGGGTATTAGAACTCAAAAAATTGAGGAATTAGAGCCGAAAAATTGGGGATTTGAAGCCAAAGAAGTGGGGATTTGGAAGCCAAAATCGGCGTTTGGAACCCAAAAATTGGGTATTAGAACTCAAAAAATTGAGGAATTAGAGCCGAAAAATTGGGGATTTGAAGCCAAAGAAGTGGGGATTTGGAAGCCAAAATCGGCGTTTGGAACCCAAAAATTGGGTATTAGAACTCAAAAAATTGAGGAATTAGAGCCGAAAAATTGGGGATTTGAAGCCAAAGAAGTGGGGATTTGGAAGCCAAAATCGGCGTTTGGAACCCAAAAATTGGGTATTAGAACTCAAAAAATTGAGGAATTAGAGCCGAAAAATTGGGGATTTGAAGCCAAAGAAGTGGGGATTTGGAAGCCAAAATCGGCGTTTGGAACCCAAAAATTGGGTATTAGAACTCAAAAAATTGAGGAATTAGAGCCGAAAAATTGGGGATTTGGAGCCAAAAGAATGGGGATTTGGAACCAAAATCGGGGATTTGCAAACAGAAATTTGGGTTTGGAACCCAAAAATTGGGGATTGGAACCAAAAAATTGAGGAATTAGAGCCGAAAAATTGGGGATTTGAAGCCAAAGAAGTGGGGATTTGGAAGCCAAAGTCGAGCGGCACGGGCGCCCCATGGCCGGGCCCCGCGTCAGGAAGGACAAGGCCGCCGCACACTTCCTGCCGCAGCTGCTCGAGGGTGAGCAAACACCCAAAACCGGGGGTTTGGACCCAAAATTTGGGGATTGGAAGTGAAAAATTGGGGGTTTGGAGCCAAAAAATGGGGGATTTAGAGCCAAAGAAGTAGGGTTTTGGAGCTAAAATTGGGGATTGAGACACCAAAATCAGGGATTTGGGACCCAAAATCAGGGATTTGCAAACAGAAATTTGGGGTTGGGGATTTAGAGCCAAAAAATTGGGGATTTGGAGCCAAAGAAATGGGGTTTTGGAGCTAAAATCGGGGATTTGGACACCAAAATTGGGGATTTGGGACCCAAAATTGGGGATTTGGAACCCAAAACCGGGGGTTTTAACCCAAAATTTGGGGTTTGGAAGTCAAAAAAATGGGGTTTTGGAGCTAAAAATTTGGGGATTTGGAGCCAAAGAAATGGGGATTTGGAGCCAAAATCGGGGATTGAGACACCAAGATTGGGGATTTGGAACAAAAAATTGGGGATTTGGAGCAAAAAAATTTGAGGATTTGGATCCAAAATTGAGGATTTGGAACCCAAATTTGGGGATTTGGAACCCAAAATCGGGGATTTTAACCCAAAAATTGGGGATTAGAAGTCAAAAATTGGGGATTTAGAGCCGAAAAAAAGGGGGGTTGGAGCCAAAATCGGGGATTTAGACACCAAAATTGGGGATTTGGAACCCAAAAATTGGGGTTTGGAACCCAAAAATTGGGGATTGGAACCAAAAAAATTGGGGATTTTGAGCCAAAATCGGGGATTTAGACACCAAAATTGGGGATTTGGACCCAAAAATTGGGGTTTGGAACCCAAAAATCCCCCTGGGATGGGCTGGGAGTGACCAGGGAGGGGATTTCAGGTGAAATTTTGTTGAAATTGGGCTGAAATTGGGGTGAGATTTGAGTGAAATTTTGGGGCAGGATTTGGGTGAAATTCGAGTGAAATTTCTGTGAAATCTGCGTGAAATTTGGGTCAATTTTGGGTGAAATTTGGGGGAATTTTGGGTGGAGTCTGAGATGAAATTTTGGTGAAATTTTGGTGAAATCTGACTGAATTTTGGGTCAATTTTGAATGAAATTTGGGTGGAATCTGAGTGAAATTTTGGTGAAATCTGAGTGAAATTTGGGTGAATTTTGGGTAAAATTCGAGTGAAATTTGAGTGTAATCTGCATGAATTTTGGGTGGAATCTGAGTGAAATTTTGGTGAAATCTGAGTGAAATTTGGGTGAATTTTGGGTGAAATCTGAGTGAAATTTTGAAGAATTTTGTGCAGGATTTGAGTGAAATCTGAGTGAAATTTTTGTGAAATTTTGATGAAATCTGAGTGATTTTTGGGTAAAATTCGAGTGAAATCTGCATGAATTTTGGGTGAAATCTGCGTGAAATTTTTGTGAAATTTGGGTGAATTTTGGGTGAAATCTGAGTGAAATTTTGGTGAAATTTTTGTGTGAAATCTGAGTGAAATTTTTGTGAATTTTGGGTAGAATCTGAGTGAAATTTGGGTGAATTTTGAATGAAATTTGGGTGGAATCTGAGTGAAATTTTTGTGACATTTTGATGAAATCTGAGTGAAATTTTTGTGACATTT